TATTACTATTAAAAAACTAAAAGATAAAGTAATACTTTTGTGATAGTATAATTAATTCAAATAAATGAATAATAATATGGTTAAATTAAGAAAAAATTTGTCTATTTTAAAATATAAAAACAAAAATTTATTTAGGATAATTGAAAGTTAAAATACCACAATTATATTTTGGGACAGAAGGAGTATGAATTTTAGTACTAAAATTTTTGTTTATGCATATATCATTTTCTTTATATATCGGAGGGTTATAACAGTTTGGTATCACAGAAGTTTAAACTTTTGATATTAACCTTAAATCAAGATTTTTAAGTTAGTGGGTACTAACTTAATCAAATTTTTGTTGATTTACGCATATATCATGGTGAAAATCTAAATTTAAAGTATATATAGCAATAAAGTTAAAAAATGAGGTAAAAATATATATTCAACTTAAAGCATAGAAAACCAAAAATTAATTTAAATAAATTTTGAGTAAAAAAAATTCCATATTTCGGCTTGAAGAGTGCATTTTCCATGCCCTTCCCGCGTAAACAAATTAAGAAAATCGAAAAAATACTGGACAAACCTATATTTAGTAGGGTCTTAATTACCATGCCAAACAATTTCTTAATCAAATTAAACCAAACACATACAATCGTAAAATCACTGTAAATAACACAAAAAAACACACGAATCATTTTCAAGGAAATAAATTAATTTTTGTTGTTGAAGAAAGACCAGCAATCAACATAAAAAAGGGCCAGATGAACGAAAGTGGAAATTTACCTCTGTTGAAACACAGTTGGTTAAGGTTTTGGCAAAGGTAATTTGGGTGCATAGGTGAAGATTTTTGCTCTGTAATAGGGTGGTAGGCGTACCTATGTCTGAGAACAATGATATATTTATATTGAAATAACCTAACCCTGGGTTTGAGATTTAACCTTGGAGTTTAGACCTAACCCAAGGGTTTTGGTGCTTTTCCAGGTTTAGAACACGTGCATTGACTGACTTAGAAGTTTTTATATTAGGCTGGTGTAATCTACGTGCCAGGTACATGTTCCTTCTAAGAAGAAAACACTGCATTTATATGAGGCTAGATATCTAGCTTTGCTGGAGGAGGTACTTTATGCTAAAATTAATTGGAATTTAAAAGTATAAATTAAATGTATAATAAATAT